GAGAGAGAGCGAGAGAGAGATACACTTTCAAGTTTCTTCATGCCTTCTTTATCACAACAGTAGTGATGCCTAAATCTTTCGTAGCGGGAAAAACGGCGACCCGTTTGCGTGGTAACAGCGCCTGACTCCGAGGCATTACAGCAGAGGTTCTAAAACTGGGTGCGTATGACAGGGGTGCTGCGTCGAAAATCAATAAAAGTCGGCTATAAATTGTGACATTATTAATGAGAGTTGTTTTAGTCCATCGCATTGTATGCAGAAATCACTATTCGTATTCGGCCCGACCGCCACTATTCGGCCGAATACCGAATAGCTAGTAGGTCCACTATTCGGCCCCGAAGCGAATACGAAGCGAATATTCGGTACAGCCCTAGTTAATACAAAGGTCAAGTCATGTACCGGTCCACGCCTCGTGACGTAGATCTTCAGGGAGTACATTAGTTTCAGGTAATCAAAGAAAATGACTCTTCTTAACTATAATTTCTAATTAACCTGCCAACTACTGCTACCAGTCAAGCCCGACTTCCTTTTCGTTCTGCTGACCGGCGCTCTCCTTCCGTATGGGGCCCGGGCAGTCGCTTATATAGGTGCTACTAGTCTGCTCCCAGAACCTTCCAGCCACCTGTTTTGCTAGCTCTATTGCGTTTGTAATAAACAAATCAGGCAAAAGTATTTGAAAAATGGTGACAACATTTGCGGTGTTAGGAGGGAGAGTCACATGATGTCTAGACAGACGGCTGGAAGTATCGTGGGAACCAAGGACAAGGACCTATGTACTTTTAGTCGATCACTAAGCTCAGTGACAAAGGTTCCAAAAACAAGGGTAAAGGACGTGATAGGGTCTGTTGTTTTGACCGCCCCGTAATGAGACGCACTTTTGGTAGGGACTCTGTTACATACAGTCCGTGACACTAGTCCGTGATACTACAGTCCGTGATACTACAGTCAGTGATACTACAGTCCGTGATACTACAGTCCGTGATACTACAGTCAGTGACACTACAGTCCGTGATACTACAGTCCGTGATACTACAGTCAGTGATACTAGTCCGTGATACTACAGTCCGTGATACTACAGTCAGTGATACTAGTCCGTGATACTACAGTCCGTGATACTACAGTCAGTGATACTAGTCCGTGATACTACAGTCCGTGATACTACAGTCCGTGACACTAGTCCGTGATACTACAGTCCGTGATACTACAGTCCGTGACACTAGTCCGTGATACTACAGTCCGTGATACTACAGTCAGTGATACTACAGTCCGTGACACTAGTCCGTGATACTACAGTCAGTGATACTACAGTCCGTGACACTAGTCCGTGATACTACAGTCCGTGATACTACAGTCAGTGATACTACAGTCCGTGACACTAGTCCGTGATACTACAGTCCGTGATACTACAGTCCGTGACACTAGTCCGTGATACTACAGTCCGTGATACTACAGTCAGTGACACTAGTCAGTGATACTAGTCCGTGATACTACAGTCCGTGACACTAGTCAGTGATACTAGTCCGTGATACTACAGTCCGTGATACTACAGTCCGTGACACTACAGTCCGTGATTCTACAGTCAGTGACACTAGTCCGTGATACTAGTCCGTGACACTACAGTCCGTGATACTACAGTCCGTGACACTAGTCAGTGATACTAGTCCGTGATACTACAGTCCGTGACACTAGTCAGTGATACTAGTCCGTGATACTACAGTCCGTGATACTACAGTCCGTGACACTACAGTCCGTGATACTACAGTCAGTGACACTAGTCCGTGATACTAGTCCGTGACACTACAGTCCGTGATACTAGTCCGTGACACTACAGTCCGTGATACTACAGTCCGTGACACTAGTCCGTGATACTAGTCCGTGATACTACAGTCCGTGATACTACAGTCAGTGACACTACAGTCCGTGATACTACAGTCCGTGACACTAGTCAGTGATACTACAGTCCGTGACACTACAGTCCGTGATACTACAGTCCGTGACACTACAGTCCGTGATACTACAGTCCATGACACTAGTCAGTGATACTACAGTCCGTGACACTACAGTCCGTGACACTACAGTGATTGGTGAAGCATAGAGACAAATGATCAAAAATGTCACGAGTAAAAGATACTGTGTGGTGAGTACCATCACCTTTTTAAGATACTGTGTGGTGAGTACCATCACCTTTTTAAGATACTGTGTGGTGAGTACCATCATCTTTTTAAAATACTATGTGGTGAGTACCAACACCTTTTTTAAGATACTGTATGGTGAGTACTGCACCTTTTTTAAGACACTGTGTGGTGAGTACCATCACTTTTTTTAGATACTATGTGATGAGTACTATCACCTTTTTTTTTAGGATACTGTGTGGTGAGTACCATCACCTTTTTAAGACACTGTGTGGTGAGTACTGCAACCTTATTTTAAAGACACTGTGTGTTGAGTACTGTACCTTTTTTTTTAAAAGATACTGTGTGGTGAGTACTGCACCTTTTTAAAAGACACTGCGTGGTGAGTACCATAACCTTTTTTAAAGACACTGTGTGGTGAGTACCATCAAATTTTTTTAAAGACACTGTGTGGTGAGTACTGTAAATTTTTAAAGACACTGTGTGGTGAGTACTGCAAACTTTTTAAGACACTGTGTGGTGAGTCCTGCAATTTTATCAAGACACTGTGTGGTGACTACTGCACCTTTTTTTAAAGACACTGTGTGGTGAGTACTGCACCTTTTTTTAAAGACAATGTGTGGTGAGTACTGCACCTTTTTATAAAGACACTGTGTGGTGAGTACAGCACCTTTTTTAAAGACACTGTGTGGTGAGTACCATCAATTTTTTAAAAGACTGTGTGGTGAGTACCATCACATTTTTTTAAAGACACTGTGTGGTGAGTACTGCAAATTTTTTAAGATACTGTGTGGTGAGTACTGCAATTTTGTTAAGACACTGTGTGGTGAGTACTGCAATTTTGTTAAGACACTGTAGGTGGTGAGTACCATCAGTGTTTTTAAGACACTGTGTGGTGAGTACTGCGTCTTTTTTTAAGACACTGTGGTGAGTACTGCACCCTTTTTTTAAAGACACTGTGGTGAGTACAGCACCTTTTTTTAAAGACACTGTGTGGTGAGTACTGCATCTTTTTTTAAGACACTGTGTGGTGAGTACTGCACCTTTTTTTTAAGACACTGTGTGGTGAGTACTGCACCTTTTTGTAAAGACAGTGTGGTGAGTACTGCACCTTTTTTAAAGACACTGAGTGGTGAGTACAGCACCTTTTTTTAAAGACACTGTGTGGTGAGTACAGCACCTTTTTTTTAAACACTGTGTGGTGAGTACCATCACCTTTTTTAACACTGTGTGGTGAGTACCATCGCCTTTTTTAAGACACTGTGGTGAGTACTGCGTCTTTTTTTAAGACACTGTGGTGAGTACTGTATCTTTTTTGAAGACACTGTGTGGTGAGTACCATCACCTTTTTTTAAATATACTGTGTGGTGAGTACCATTACCTTTTTTTAAAGACACTGTGTGGTCAGTACCATCACCTTTTCAAAAAGACACTGTTTGGTGAGTACTGCGCCTTTCATCAAAACACTGTGTAATGAGTACCATCACCTTTTTTAAGACTGTGTGGTGAGTTTTGCACCTTTTTTGCTGAGAAAAATACCTTGATCACTAATATATACACTAAAACAAGGTCGGTGCCATACAGGTATCACAGGAGACGGTTGAGATCTTCTCATAATTTAGGAGGATGGGGGGAGAAGGAACACCCTCAGCGCGATTAAAACTTGCTTAAACATGGAAAAAGTAGACTTTAAAAAAATTAATGTGTATACTTGTATATATAGTTGGAGGGGGTGGGTATGGCACAGTACCCTTACAAATTTTCTGGGAAAGGGGAGGGGGGGGGTGTTCATTCTTAAAAGTATTGGGGAGCAGGGAGGAGCAGCCATGCAGTGCCTGAACCACCAGTTTTCAGCGCCCATGCATTAGAATACTCATTGTATGCGTGTGTGTGTAGGTGGATGGGAGTGTTTCTATTACTTTGTGAATGTATGCATGCATGTGCATCTTCTGGCCCCATGTTGAGGGGGACAATAGATTACTGCCCCCGCTTATATCTGTAAAATGGATGTGCATGCAAAACTCAAATTCTGGAACTAGACCAAAGCCCAGAAGTGGACAAACAACCAGAACTTTCTACCGGAGTTCACAACCAGTGAATGTGAAAAAGTAGTAGAAGAAACTGAAACTCTTGAATTATGGTTTCTTCTTCTTAAAGTCCTTCTAAAAGTTCTTCTTGGAGTCCTTCTTAAAGTTCTGAAAGTCAATGCCGTGTGGTGCTGGTAGTCACATCTATCCTCAGCCTTCTGTCTCGTAAACTTTGAATCAGTTCTGACACAGATGATTTTTTATGTCATGATGTCAAGCTTTGCAGCATCTTTTCTCTTGGTCTCCCTCTGCCTCTCCTCCCCTCCAACTTTCCTACTGTCAAATGTACTCCAGTTTTTCTCCTTCTCGTAACATGACCAAAGAATGTAGATTGTCTCCTTATGTCGGCAATCAGTTCTCTTTGTGAGTCAGTTTCCTTCAATACCTCCTTTTTGTGCCTATGATTTCACCATAGGAAATTGGATTATCATTTGCTTTATTATACTGATCTTTGTCTTTTGCCTATGAATGTTTAAACTCACTGATTGTCTTAGAAATGTTTTATCATATTAAACAGCGAGCTGTTTTGTGAACACTTAGTTACAGTAAAAATGTTTTCTTGTTTGAAATTAAGGTTAAAAAAAAGCCAAAATATGGAACTAGCAATATTGATGTTACGTTTTTATTTGAAAATGTCACATTAATCAGACAAACAGTTTTTAAAAATCACAGAATAAAGACGGCACTGAGAAAAAAAGTAAATAGCAAATGTTATATCTTCTCTGGTTTTTTCATTAGACAGCTTTAACAAATAACAATCTTGAAGGGAAAAACAAAAACATCAAAAGTTGTTGATAAGATCATCAGGATCCAGGATGTCTGGCAATTGATGGGATCCCTGTGAGGCACTTCTCCTGGTACTGGATCTCTTTGCTGCACTGCTGGGTCTGTGGCAATTTGTCACAGCAGAATAATCAAGATGTATAGATATGGATGATAAGAGAATCTGTTAAAGATGAATGATGAGAGGATCTGTTAAAGATGGATGAAGAGAGGATCTGTTAAAAATGGACAATGAGAGGATCTGTTAAAGATGGATAATGAGAGGATCTGTTAAAGATGGGTGATGAGAGGATCTGTTAAAGATGGATGATGAGAGAATCTGTTAAAAATGGACGATGAGAGCATCTGTTAAAGATGGAGGATGAGAGGATCTGTTAAAGATGGATAATGAGAGGATCTGTTAAAGATGAAAGATGATGAGAGGATCTGTTAAGGATGGATAATGAGAGGATCTGTTAAAGATGGATGATGAGAGGATCTGTTAAAAATGGATGATGAGAGGATCTGTTAAAAATGGATAATGAGAGAATCTGTTAAAGATGGATGATGAGAGGATCTGGTAAAGATGGACGATGAGAGGATCTTTTAAAGATGGATGATAAGAGCATCTGTTAAAGATGAATGATGAGAGCATCTGCTAAAGATAGATGATGAGAGGATCTGTTAAAGATGGATGATGAGACAATCTGTTAAAGATGGATGATGAAAGGATCTGGTAAAGATGGATAAAGGGATGATGAGAGGATCTGTTAAAGATGGATGATGAGAGGATCTGTTAAAGATGGATGATGGGAGCATCTGTTAAAGATGGATGATGAGACAATCTGTTAAAGATGGATGATGAAAGGATCTGTTAAAGATGGATAAAGGGATGACGAGAGCATCTGTTAAAGATGGATAATGAGAGGATTTGTTGAAGATGGATGATGAGAGGATCTGTAAAAGATGGATGATAAGAGGATCTGTTAAAGATGGATGATGAGAGGATCTGTTAAAGATGGATGATAAGAGGATCTGTTAAAGATATGTGATGAGAGGATCTGTTGAAGATGGATAAAGATGGATGATGAGAGCATCTGTTAAAGATGGATACAGATGGATGATGACAGCATCTGTTATAGATTGATAACAATGAATGATGAGAGGATCTGTTAAAGATAGAAAATAAGAGGATCTGTTAAAGATGGATGATAAGAAGATCTGTTAAAGATGGATAAAGATGGATGATGAAAGCATTTCTTAAAGATGGATAAAGATGGATGATGAGAGCATCTGTTAATGATGGATGATGAGAGGATCTGTTAATGATGGATGATGAGAGGATCTGTTAAAGATGGGTGATGAGAGGATCTGTTAATGATGGATGATGAGAGCATCTGTTAAAGATGGATAAAGATGGATGATGAGAGGATCTGTTAATGATGGATGATGAGAGCATCTGTTAAAGATGGATAAAGATGGATGATGAGAGCATCTGTTAAAGATGAATGATGAGAGGATCTGTTAAAGATGGGTGATGAGAGGATCTGTTAATGATGGATGATGAGAGCATCTGTTAAAGATGGATAAAGATGGATGATGAGAGCATCTGTTAAAGATGAATGATGAGAGGATCTGTTAAAGATGGGTGATGAGAGGATCTGTTAAACATGGAAAATGAAACAAATAAACTGTTGATGAAGGAAAGACTATGAAACAAATAAACTGTTGATGAAGGAGAGACTATGAAACAAATAAATTGTTAATAAAGAAAAGACTATAAAACAAATAAAATGTTATGAAGGAGAGACTATGAAACAAATAAATTGTTGAAGGAGAGATAATGAAACAAATAAATTGTTGATGAAGGAAAGACTATAAAACAAATAAACTGTTGATGAAGGAGAGACTCTGAAACAAAAAAAACTGTTAATGAAGGAGAGACTATGAAACAAATAAACTGTTAATAAAGGAGAGACTATGAAACAAATAAACTGATGATGAAGGAGAGACTATGAAACAAATAAACTGTTGATGAACGAGAGACTATGAAACAAATAAACTGATGATGAAGGAGAGACTATGAAACAAATAAACTGTTGATGAACGAGAGACTATGAAACAAAAAAACTGATGATAAAGGAGAGACTATGAAACAAATAAACTGTTGATGAAGGAGAGACTATGAAACAAATAAACTGTTGATGAAGGAGAGACTATGAAACAAATAAACTGTTGATGAAGGAGAGACTATGAAATAAATAAATTGATGAAGGAGAGACTATGAAACAAATAAACTGTTGATGAAGGAGAGACTATGAAACAAATAAACTGTTGATGATGGAGAGACTATGAAACCAATAAACTTTTGATAATGGAGAGACTATGAAACAAATAAACTGTTGATGAAGGAGAGACTATGAAACAAATAAAATGTTGATGAAGGAGAGACTATGAAACAAATAAACTGTTGATGAAGGAGAGACTATGAAACAAATAAATTGATGAAGGAGAGACTATGAAACAAATAAACTGATGATGAAGGAGAGACTATGAAACAAATAAACTGTTGATGAACGAGAGACTATGAAACAAATAAACTGATGATGAAGGAGAGACTATGAAACAAATAAACTGTTGATGAACGAGAGACTATGAAACAAATAAACTGATGATGAAGGAGAGACTATGAAACAAATAAACTGTTGATGAAGGAGAGACTATGAAACAAATAAACTGTTGATGAAGGAGAGACTATGAAACAAATAAACTGTTGTTGAAGGAGAGACTATGAAATAAATAAATTGATGAGGAGACTATGAAACAAATAAACTGTTGTTGACTATGAACTGTTTGATGATGGAGAGACTATGAAACAAAAACTTTTGATAATAAACTATGAAACAAATAAACTGTTGATGAGGAGACTATGACTATGAAACAAATAAATAAACTGTTGATGAAGGAGAGACTATGAAACAAATAAACTGTTGATGATGAGGAGAGACTATGAAACAAATAAACTGTTGATGAAGGAGAGACTATGAAACAAAAAAACTGATAAAGGAGAGACTTGAAACAAAATGACTGGAAGGAGAGACTATGAAACAAATAAACTGTTGATGAAGGAGAGACTATGAAACAAATAAACTGTTGATGAAGGAGAGACTATGAAACAAATAAACTGTTGATGAAGGAGAGACTATGAAACAAATAAACTGTTGATGAAGGAGAGACTATGAAACAAAGTGTTGAAAGTGACTATGATGAATGTTGGAGGAGACTATGAAAGAAATAAACTTTTGATAATGGAGAGACTATGAAACAAATAAACTGTTGATGAAGGAGAGACTATGAAACAAATAAACTGATGATGAAGTAGAGACTATGAAACAAATAAATTGTTGATGAAGGAGAGACAATGAAACAAATAAACTGTTGATGAAGGAAAGACTATGAAACAAATAAAATGTTCATGAAGGAGAGACTATAAAACAAATAAACTGTTGATGAAGGAGAGACTATGAAACAAATAAACTGTTGATGAAGGAGAGACTATGAAACAATTAAACTGTTGATGAAGGAAAGACTATGAAACAAATAAATTGTTCATGAAGGAGAGACTATGAAACAAATAAAGTGTTGATGAAGTAGAGACTATAAAACAAATAAACTGTTGATGAAGGAGAGACTATGAAACAATTAAACTGTTGATGATGGAGAGACTATGAAACAAATAAAGTGTTGTTGAAGGAGAGACTATGAAACAATTAAACTGTTGATGATGGAGAGACTATGAAACAAATAAATTGTTGAAGGAGAGACTATGAAACAAATAAATTGTTGAAGGAGAGACTATGAAACAAATAAATTGATGAAGAAGAGACTATGAAACAAACAAACTAAAATGTCACTAACTGGCTGTTGATAAAGGAAAGACTATGAAACAAATAAACTGAAATGAACAGTTGCTGCTACCTCTCTTGTGCATCTCCTGAGGACAGCCGAGGAAGTGTTGGCTTGACTGGGGTTTGTTTCTTTGTTGCTTTTTGTCTCTGAGGTCTGTTGAGATCAAATAGGAAGAACAAGTTAATATCAACACTCAGGTTCTGGAGCAGGACTGCAGTTCAGGTGTGGATGAGCAATCAGAACCTTCCGCCAGTGTACAGCTGGTGAACGTGAAGAAGAGGAAGAAGAAGATCATTACCTGTCTGAAGTACCTACATTACAGTGAGCAGCTGTGGTGTAGTGGTTCACGCTCACCTGCGAATCTGTGACCAGAGGTTCTGGCAGATGCTCGAGGCTCAGAGGAAAGGCAAGACAGACATTTAATCAGAATGCTACTGGCACCACTAGTATCAGAACTCTTCACTGGCTGCTGAAGATGTGGATGGAGCACTTATGGGAATTCCCTGAATGCTGCGATGTTGGTTCTTGAATCACTCAACTCACCTCTGAATCCAAAGGTGGTGGGTTCAAATCAGCAGTGAGCCACATTTTGTCCTAATGATCTTTGCTCCTTGGTTGACTAATGGATACCAGGTATAGTCATGGCAAGTAAAAATGGCCAGCGCGATGCTGACCACATCACCCACTTAGGGCTGACTGGTCTATAAAAACATAGGTCCCGCCTTATATGCCTGATGCGCCTCTGGCTTGTACAGGAACCTTTACTTACTTACCTACATTACAGAAGGTCAGAAACAGATGGTTGTGGTATGTGAGGCTGTCTTTTGTTAGCGTGGCTAATCAACAGAGATTTTATCAATATATTGCTCTCATCATCATATAGCAGGTCCTTTGTAGAATGTTGCTCTCATGAGTTTGCCTGAAAGAAACCAGGTCTCTCGCCAGTGCTCCCACCTTGTGTGCTTTCATATTCAAGAAGTCACTTATATCCCAGACCATCTTCGTGTTTGTTGGCCCCTGCTCTTCCTTCTAGGTATCATACCTTCAGCTATTATTTTTTCCAATCCGTCATGGCGCTTAATATGACCAAAATATTTCAGCTTTTGAGACAAGATGCTGTTTATGAGCAAATGTTTCTTGATATTCAGATCTGTTAAAATGTCAGTATTTCTTCTCTTCTCGCGGATTTAAAAAATCTTTCTATAGCATTTAAGCTCAAAAGCCCTTATTTTCTTCCTTAACTCTTTGAGGCCCGAGCAACGCTGTCAGAGTTGATTGAGAAGTTATGTTTGCCCAAACAATCGTGTGTCCTGTAAATATTGTTTCGCACACAGCTCTGTACTTGTTTCTAATGTTCGGAACTATGATTGAAGCATTCAAGAAAAGTCACTCTAACGATGTCCTTTTAACAACATTCCATATCACAAGCCAAACGTGCATAGATTAATCGGATTCATAGGTACATTTTTTTCAACAGTGCAGTTTCTAAGTTCGTTTTCATGAATAAGTTTCGTTTCCAGATGTGTCTTTCCGTGGGCCAAAGCTCATCAGTTAGATGTTTTTAATTCTGCATAATGATAATGAAAATTTTGATTTTTCCTAAACTAATTTGGCCGGGGAATTTTCACCAGTGGAGCTGAGCGATCAGCTGTTGGGAATCTAGCTGATTTAATCTGGCTTAAAAATGACAAAGAGGCAACAGGAACAGCTATTAGGTTCAGATGGTGATGAGGAAAAAGTCTGGCCACTGGGTATAAAAGACTTTGTTTAGTCTTTCAGTGATCTATTTGACTTTCGGACGGACCCTGTGGAGACCTACCTGGCTGTTGTAGCTCTGCACTTAGGGCTCGCCAGCATGGGTGTGGGCGGCTACAGGGAAAGGCCGATTGTCTGATTGATTTCCCTGGCTGATCTCATGGATGTTTCAATTGGTTAGGTGGTGATAGATTTGATTTACATTGTATATCCCCGCTAGGAGATAGTTTGATGACAGGTCGCTATAAGTGATTTGTTTTTCTGCTAGTATCTGTCACTATTTTGTTATTCATTGGTTTACTAGTTGCTTAGTTAGTTGATTCTGCTGATCTGCTCGTATACCTTCAGTTAGTAGTTCTTTAGTATACTTAGTGCTCGGAGTGTGTCATCAAGTATTATTGTTTTATGTCATCAAGTAAAAAAAGTTTCTGTATTTGTTGACTTACATTCTTGTTATTTTAGTTAGTGTGCCTAGGTTTTACTGTTACACTATATTAGACCACACGCAGAAGATTTCCTGTCAGGGTGAGATCTTTTTGATCTTAACCCCGCCTAAACAAACTTTTTCTTTTCTTTCTTGTTACTGAGGCAGCTTAAGGTTGGGTTTTGGCTCCCACTCGCCACTTGACATTGTCAGAGCTCTTGCTGGTTCGGAGTCGAGGAGATTTTAAGGAGTAAATTTCTATATTATCCTTTATTTTATAGTTATCTCTTCTACTTTCCTCCATTACAATTACCCCCTCTGCTTTGCTTCTAGTACATTATTTCCTACTAACTATAACAAAATTAAACATACCCTCATCATGAGATTCAAAGTGAAAATTCATTTCTCTTTAAAATATATATACTTTTATAGAGATTAGAATATTACATTCTCTATTGCCTGTCTTGTACACCATCCCCTCTGCTGGTAATCTGATAATCCTAGTTTCAGCTTCATAGCAAACGGGTCACCCCATAGTTGCTCCGCTCCTGTGCCAACAACAACAAAACATGTAGCTCACAGTGTCACAAAACTGCACTCAACTCAGAAGCTGGGTGACAAAACTACATCCTTCCAGTCTACAAATGGAGCAAAAATGCAACCGCCACCGTCTGGCAGAAGCAAAAAAAAAAAAATTTTACAAAACACATTTGCCATGGCTAAACAAAAAAAAAGTGGCTGTGCCTAGCATCCATTTTGACCTGAAGCATTATATGGGGGTTAATAAATGGACACCCCAGCAATACCCTCACTATTAGCTGGGGAAGGGACTTAGGACATTACATCCACCAGCAGGTGTCACCCCTGCAATGACCTGACTGCCTTCATTAATGACTGTTCACCCAACAGCCATGGAGTTCTTTGGCACGAAGGAGACACCTAGAACTTGAGTTTCGGACTGTCGACTCCCTACAAGATGTTATTTTATGTTTTGTTATCCCAATCGACATCACTGCACATTGGGCATACCCATGCGTGCTCAGTCCTCCGAAGCAGCAGCCACTCCAAAGTACTTCTACTAATTGTCCCCATGAGAAGCTAGTTATATTGTCTCCTTTCTCAGCTTTAAAGACGGCAAAGACCTGCTTCACCATGCTTAACTCCCATGTCACGCAATCATGTTAGTGTCAGGGATTCCTCATTAGTCACTAGCCCAGTCCGTACAGCGTTAAAGATATCTGCTCTGTGCCACTTTGCACCTGCTAGTCATCGTCGGCAAATCCAGGACATAATGCATGATGTTGCAGGAGGTATCTTTTGTGCAGCCGAGTATGATTCTCATGGCCTCATTTTGTACTCGGTCCAGTCTTTCTAGCTGGTTTTTGCTGACAGTGAGGAGGCCAAGACCATAGTCAATGACGTTAAGCACAAGCTCTTGATAGAGAAGGAAAAGTAGGCGTAGTTCAATATTAGCTGCTGCTAGCACCTTGAGTACTGACAGGCCTTTCCTGGCTCTAAGTATGACGTTGTCTTCGTGGCATTTGTATGACAAGCATCTGTCAAATGTCATGCCCAGGTATTTCATGGTGTCCGTTCTCTCAATGTCCACACCACAGATGCTTACGACTGGCGTTGGTGTACTTCTTCTTCTTCTTCTTCGCGTTCACCAGCTGTAAACTCTGGGGGAAGGTTCTGGTTGCTCATCCACTACTGAACTGCAGTCCTGCTCCAGAAGCTGAGTGTTGCGTGTGCATCAGTTTTACAGATCTCATTCTCTTGAATACACACTGTTGGTTCCTTGCCTCTCTGGCAGATGCACTCCGACTTCAAAGGAAGCTCCCCAATTAGTCGACTCTTACGACATGCTTTTGGGGAGGCAGTGGGTCTATTCTTGTTTTCCCCACAATGGGGCCCCGGAACCCACACGGGGGAGTTGGTGTACTGATGATGTGGGTATTCAGACAGAACCATGTTAAGGAGGCTTTGGACGGGTTCACCTGAGCTCTTGATTCCTGGCACCACTCACTAAGTCTGTCTAGTTTGTGCTGTAGTATGGTTGTAATTTCCTGCCTGTTTTTACCTCAACGGTAAACAAGGATATCATCTGCATACGACATTGTTCTGCCTAGACCTATGCTTTGTGCACTCGTGACTCCTGCTGTGTCCACATTGAAGAGCACAGGCGACATTGGTGATTCCTGGGGCAGACCCATTAGGAGGCATTGAGGTTTGGATACCCATTCACCACATCAAAGTGACACTGTTCTTTCAAATAGCGCTGCTGCGATCCAGTTTGCCAATTTTGTTTCTATCTGCATATACAACAGCAGTCTGATGATCATGATGTATGGGATGCTGTTGTACGCATCTTCTAAGTCAATAGCGGCTGCAGCCGTTTTCATTCCCTCCTGGAAACCCTCATATGTGTCATGGGCAAATACTGCAGCATTGCACCATGTATGTCTTCCTGGTCGGTAACCACCTAGTGTAGCGGGGAGTAGACCACCTGACTCCAATGTTTGGGTCAACATTCTGGCAACAATTTTTGTCCAAGAGTTTTCCAATCGTGTTCTGGAGTGTGATGATTCTGTAGCCTTTTATTCTCGTGTGGTCTTTTCCTGGCTTAGGAACCGGTCTGAGGTAGCTGTGGAGCCAGTCATCAGGAATAATGCCAGTTTTCATGGTGCTGTTCAAAATCGTGGATAGTTCATCCATATCTGCTATTTTTGTTAAGGGAAATTAATGTGGGCCAAGGCTGTCAAAATTCATGTGCCTGAAAGAGTTAATGACTGGTAGATAGTCTAAGACTCACATCCATACTGCCCTGGAAATGGTATATAACAGAGGTGACCTGACTTCTTGACAAATCTATGTGGCATGTAGCTGAGATGATGTGACCAATTGACAAATCTAAGTGGCATGTACCTGAGATGAAGTGACCTCTTGACAAATCTAAGTGGCATGTACCTGAGATGACGTGACTTCTTGACAAATCTAAGTAGCATGTACCTCAGATGACGTGACCTCTTGACAAATCTGAGTGGCATGTATATGAGATGACCTGACTTCTTGACAAATCAAAGTGATGTATAACTGACATGGATAGTATTTTTTTTAACTAAAGTGGCATGTAAGTGAGAAATCTAGACTCATTAACAAACCTAAGTGCTATGTTTAAATGGTACGATAGAATCACTAATGTAGAACTTTGGAAGAGAACAAGTTCCAGTGGACCAAGAGGTGAAGAAAAGACACTGGCGTTGGATAGGACACATGTTGAGAAAACCTGAGAACAAAACAACTAGAATATCTTTGCACTGGAACCCACAGGAGCATAGAAATATAGGCAGACCAAAAAAAAACACAAGGAGAAGGGAGCTAGAGAGCAAAGTTGAAAAAGATGGGGGAGGACTGCATGCGATAGCAAATGACATAACGACTTTGTGTGAGTCGGTTGAGGGCCTATGCTCTACTGGGAGGTTAGAAAGGCAGAAGAAGAGAAGAAATGGTATGTAATCAGGGTGATCTGACTTCTTGACAAACCAAAGTCATACAGAACTGAGAAAACTAGACTTTTTGACAAACTTCAATTGTATGTAATCAAGGTGATCTAACTTCTTGACAAACCAAAGTCATATAGAACTAAGATAACTAGACTTTATGACAAACTTCACTGTTATGTAATCAGGGTGATCTGACTTCTTGACAAATCAAAGTCACATAGAGCTGAGATCATTAGACTTTATGACAAACTTTACTGGTATGTAATCAAGGTGATCTAACTTCTTGACAAACCAAAGTCACATAGAACTGAGATAATTAGACTTTATGACAAACTTCACTGGTATGTAATAAAGGTGATCTAACTTCTTGACAAACCAAAGTCACATAGAACTGAGATCATTAGACTTTATGACAAACTTTACTGGTATGTAATCAAAGTGACTACACTTCCTGCCATACATGACTAATGTATAACTGAGATGACTAGTCTTGTTATCGAAATCAAGTGGTAGATTATCAAGATGACTGGCCCAATTTTAACAAAATGGTACAGAAATTTAGGTGACAAGACCTCTTGATCAATCTAAACTTAATTATAAACAAGACATTCATGTTTTGTTGTTTACCTTCGGGCAACTGGAGCTAACTTGGATTCCTCTTCGTCCTCATTCAGATTCAGAAACGATTCTCCCACTGTGTTATTCTTTGATGAAGCTGCCATCTTTGATTTTTTAGAAGACCCTACCTGTAAGGAAATGGGAAACTAGAGGTGAGCTTGAGCGCCTTGTTCACACAAGAGCCAACTTATAAAGGACAAACATAAATTGTATCATCTTAGGTGTACTAAGAAGGAAAAACCCATCAACATCCTTCAAGATCAAGGAGAATTGAATCATAAACAGCATCCTGTCCTAAAAGCTGAGGTGTTTTGGCCATGTTAAATGTCATGGTGGCCTGCAGAGAGAATGCTGATGTAGGCCAGTTTCCCAAAAAGGAAGCAGATCCCTCAAAGGTGGATACAAGACACTGAAGATTCATTGGTTGGAGAATAGGACTGAAGAACTGGCTAGGAAATGAGAGACTTTCAGGCATGCTTTGATGAGAGCGACATACAGTGAAGGACCCATTAATTGATTCTAATATTCTTCTTCTTCTTCGTGCTCACCAGCTGTAAATTCTGACGGAAAGTTCTGGTTGTTCATCCACTTCTGGACTGTAGTCTTGTTCCAGAGCCTGAATGTTGCATGTGCATCCATTTTACAGATCTGGCTCATTTGTATGCAGACTTCTGGTTCCTTGCCTCTCCGGCAGATGCACTCCACTTCAAAGGAAGCTCCCAGCTAGTTGACTGTTACAACATGTTTTAGGGTAAGCAATGGGTCTATTCTTGTTTTCCCTATAACAGGGCCTGAAACTCACACTATTGATAATGACAAATTGTATGATTCGATTAACAGTCTTATCTATGTACCAGTTTGCAAGCAGCTAGCATGTTTCCTCATTATTAAATTCTTTTACTACTAAACATCTAGCTTCCAGGTCGACCCAGCCTTGAGTGGGTACCAAGAACAGTCCTGGGAAGTAAAGGTGACCAGCATGATGCTGACCACATTACCTACCAGGTGCTGTTTGGTCTATACAATATAGGTCTAACCCTATACACCCACTTTGCCTGAAAGGCGTGGAAAAGGCTCCTTTACTACCAAAGAACTCACCACCTGTTTATAGACAGAACACGTGTTACTTAAATATAACTTTACTGTATTCAACCCCCAACCTAGTCTACTGTACTTTCCATGTCACCCTAATCTCACCCCCCTCCCCCCCCCCACCTTATTTCACTGTATATCCCTCCACTCTACTGTACTTCCCCCCTTGCCTTACATTACTGTACTCTCCCCGACCCCACTTTCCTGTACTTTTTCCCTTGCCTTACATTACTCTCCCCGACCTCACTTTCCTGTACTTCCCCCCTTGCCTTACATTAGTGTACTCTCCCCGACCTCACTTTACTGTACTTCCCCGCTTGCCTTACATTACTGTACCCTCCCCGACCTCACTTTACTGTACTTCCCCCCTTGCCTTACATTACTGTACCCTCCCCCCTCCCAGCCTTACATTACTGTACTCTCCATGACCTCACTTTCCTGTACTTCCCCCCTTGCCTTACATTACTGTACTTCCCCCCTTGCCTTACATTACTGTACTCTCCCCGACCTCACTTTCCTATACTTCCCCCTCCCCCTGCCTTACATTTCTGTACTCGCCCCGACCTCACTTTCCTGTACTTCCCCCCTTGCCTGACATAACTGTACTCTCCCCGACCTCACTTTACTGTACTATTTGCCCTAAACTTACTTTACTGTATTTTCCCTAAGCTCACTTTGTTAACCTCCGCCAAACTTTAGTTTACCTCACTTTACTTACCTCTTCTTCTGTATCCACATCATTACCATCGGACTGGCTGCACAAAATGTACAAACAAACCCTTATAAAATTAGTACAACAAATAAATAATAAAGAATTCTATGAAAAAGATGTTATTCAATCAAGAATGCTTAGACAAGTGTTTCTGATGGGAGTGCCAGTCTGTGCTGATTTTCTCACCTACTGGTGCTACTGATGTGTTCACCATGCACCGATTGCCACACCTACTGGTTCTACTGATGTGTTCACCGTGCAAAGATTGCCTCACCTACTGGTGCTACTGATGTGTTCCCCCTGCACCGATTGCCTCACCTACTAATGTGTTCACTGTGCACCGATTGCCTCACCTACTGATGCTACTGATGTGTTCACCATGCACTGATTGCCTCACCTACTAATGCTACCGATGTGTTCACTGTGCACCAATTGCCTCACCTACTGGTGCTACTGATGTGTTCACCGTGCACCAATTGCCTCACCTACTGATGTGTTCACCGTGCACCGATTGCCTCACCTACTGGTGCTACTGATGTGTTCACTATGCACCGATTGCCTCACCTACTGGTGTTACTGATGTGTTCACCATGCACCGATTGCCTCACCTACTGATGTGTTCACCGTGCACTGATTGCCTCACCTACTGGTGCTACTGATGTGTTGACTGGCTGTAAGCTCCTGCAGAAAGTCCTGCTTGTTGACTGGCTGTAAGCTCCTGCAGAAAGTCCTGCTTGTTGACCGGCTGTAAGCTCCTGCAGAAAGTCCTGCTTGTTAACCAGCTGTAAGCTCCTGCAGAAAGTCCTGCTTGTTCACCAGCTGTAAGCCCCTGCAGAAAGTCCTGGTTGTTCACTGGCTGTAAGCTCCTGCAGAAAGTCCTGCTTGTTGACCAGCTGTAAGCTCCTGCAGAAAGTCCTGCTTGTTGACCGGCTGTAAGCTCCTGCAGAAAGTCCTGGTTGTTCACTGGCTGTAGGCTCCTGCAGAAAGTCCTGCTTGTTGACCGGCTGTAAGCTCCTGCAGAAAGTCCTGGTTGATCACCGGCTGTAAGCTCCTGCAGAAAGTCCTGGTTGTTCACCGCCTGTAAGCTTCTGCAGAAAGTCCTGCTTGTTCACTGGCTGTAAGCTCCTGCAGAAAGTCCTGCTTGTTCACCAGCTGTAAGCTCCTGCAGAAAGTCCTGGTTGTTCGACCGTTTGGGCTTTGGCTTTGTGCCAAGGCCTGAGTTTTGCGTCTACATCCATTTCACTGGCTTGTTGGTTGTTCCTTGCCGCTCGGGCACATGCACTCCAAATTCAAAGGACTGTTGGGGAGGCAGTGGGTCTATTCTTGTTTTCCCCCACAATGGTGCAGCAGAACCCATATGAAGATGTTATAGTTCAATCTTCAGTAGACCCGCAGACAATACAAGATCACATATGATGCACTAGACAGGAGCATTACAGTGAAGGATCTTTTTAAACGCCTTTAGGCATATAAGGCTAGACCTATATTTTATTGACCAGCTGGCACTCGGTTAACATCATGACAGCTGCCTTTACTTCACAGGACTTTACCTGGTACCCATTCAAGGCTGGCTCTAACTGGGAGCTAAGGTTATGTTGTTGTTTTTTTAAAGTCCTTCCTGGGCCCCAATCTGGGGGAGAACAAGAATAGACCCACTGCCTCCCCAACAAGCATGTCGTAGGAGTCAACTGATTGGAACATCTTTTGAAGTCGGGGAACATCCACCGGAGAGGCAAAAATCAAGAGTCTGCATACAAATAAGTCAAACCTTCACAATGGATGTGCATGCAACACTCAGGTTCTGGAACAAGACTCAGGTCCTGAGGTTGATGAATAACCAGAACTTTCCACGGAGTTTACAGCCGATGAACGAGAAAAAGAAACAAATCTAGCTTTGTTCTTTTTTAAACCCATGACTTTGAGATCAGCAGGCCAGCATCTAGCTACACCACAGTTGCTCCCTTACAGCAGTTTAAAAAAAAAAAAAAATAAGTATAGCATGAGATAAAATCTGTATACTTATGAGTCAGTTACAAATTAGCCAGAATTTAGAAACAACAGAGATGTGGTTTCTAAGACGAATGTTACGAATATCTTGGATGACCAGAGTAACCTACAACGATCGCTTGAAAGAAGCTAATGAAAGTAGATCTCCATATACAGCAATAAGAAAAAGACAAACATTGTTCTTTGGTGACATAATTAGAAGAAAAACATTGGAGAACATTGTGACAACTGGAAAGATCAGTGGAAAAAGGGATAGAGGCAGACCAAGAGAAATCATGCTGGATGGGCTGAAACGATGGATGGAGGAATATCATCAAAAGAGCTGTTCCAGGCAACCAGGGATCGTGATCTGTGTAGACGCATAAGCACCTAGGCCAGTTGGCAGGGCACATGATGGTGATGACTTACGAGTCACTTGTCTGTCTGGATGTTTCTCCATTTCTACCTCTTGCTGTCTTTCTAGTTGCAGGTTGGCTATTTTCTTGAACAGCTTGGGAGGCTTGTGGTCCTGTTTCATTAGGGAGAAAACAGGCAGGGTGTCAAGTAGAGCTGTACCAAATAGGTGATTATCACTATTTGGCTGAATACTAATAGCGGGATTAACTATTCTGCTGAATATGAATATGAATAGTGTATAGTATATAAACAAATCTAAAAAACATTCATAATGTCAAATGTACGCTGAACTTTTACTTCACAAAATGATAATATTAAAAATAATTATTATTTAAGAAAATTTTATGTTGTGTATCCTTCAGGCAGTATGTGGTAACTAATAACTAGGAATGAAAGTATATTAAGTATTATAACAAGTAACTAAACTTGTAAATTCTCACTGACAGCAAAGTTGATGCATGAAAGCTGCATTAGCTTTCAACAAAACCAATCGTTCTATGTTGTCAGCATTAAGGCAGTGTATGCAGAAGTATGCCTGGGGTAGGAGCCTGTCCTTCTACTAGGCGCGTCCACCAGGTGGCGGATGGCGGAAAGGCCTCTAGATATAGAGGTTAGCCACGAATATGTTGAATAAGTGGCCGTGGACGAAAACAGGTGATGGTCATTGAGAGAAGGCGAGTTAGTTGGTGGGACAGCTAACTCTATAAAATACCTCAAAACTCTACGACATGGCCATCGGCGGTAAGAGAGGCGCCATAACCTCTCCCCCCTGCTGCCTTGCAGGGTAAGTCTCTTTAGACAAAGGCTATTGGAGTCAAACCATATACAAACCGGCGGAAGGCAAGGGGAAACCACCGCTGTACTCTCCCAAGAAAATCATGCCTCAAAATAATAACCCGGGCCAGACATCTCACTAGAAGAAATCAAAGCACTGGGAGATTTTGGAATTGAAATAATAACTAAACTTTTAAATGATATTTATAATAGTGGGTATATTCCAAATGACCTTTTAAAATCCATATTTATAGCTCTGCCTAAGAAACCAGGCACTTTAAAATGTAAAGACCATCGCACAATAAGTCTTATGAGTCACATGACTAATATTTTACTGAGAATAATTATGAGAAGAATAAGAAACAAAATTAAACCAGAAATCAGCGATGAACAATGTGGATTTGTAGAAGGAAAAGGTACAAACAATGCCATATACATCCTAAGGACATTGTCAGAAAGAGCTATGGAAGTAAAGACTGATTTGAACTTATGCTTCATAGACTATACAAAAGCATTTGACTGTGTGAAGCATGAAGAAGTAATCAAACTGTTAGAAAAATTAAACATTGATGGGAAATATCTACGAATAATAAAGAATATGTATTGGCAGCAAACAGCAGCTATAAGAATTAACAACTGTTTAGGTACATTTCAAAGCATAAAGAGGGGCGTACGACAAGGATGAGTACTGTCACCTGATTTGTTTTCAATATACAGTTAATATATAATGAGAGCTTTAATTGGTATGCCAGGAATTGTGGTTGAGGGCACAATATAAACAATTTACGTTATGCTGATGACACAGTCTTGAGAGCAACAAGTCAGAAAGAACTACAGGAAATGATAGACATTGTAGTGTAAGAAAGTGGAAGAATGGGCCTCAGTTTAAAAAAAAAAAATAAGAATAGCATGAGATAAAATCTGTGTACTTATGAGTCAGTTACAAATTAGCCAGAATTTAGAAGCAACAGAGATGTGGTTTTGAAGACGAATGTTACGAATATCTTGGATGAACAGAGTAACTAACAGTAGAAAGTGGGAATAATGGGAAGACAGAAGTAATGGTGGTATCAAAGAAACAAATTCCTAAGTGTGTAATAAAAGTTGATGGTGTTATTTTAGGACAAGTACAGAAATTTAAGTATCTGGGCACATTATCAGATGGAAGATGCATAACTGAGATAAGAAATAGAAAAGGACAGACAAAAACTGCATTTTATAAAATGAAAAACATCTTGTGCAATATATCCTTGTCATTGAGAGTTAGAAAAAGAATTCTTGCTTGCTACATACCAGTTTTAACATATAGCTGTGAATCCTGGACAATCAGTAGGCAGGCCAAACAATTTCTGGAGGCCTCAGAGATGTGGTTTTACAGAAGAATGCTTAGAATACCTTGGACAGCCAAAAAGAGCAACCAAGAGGTTTTGAAAGAGGCCGGCACCCGAAGACAACTTATCACAGACATCAGAAGGAGACAGACAGTCATCATTTTTCGGCCATGTTATGAGAAGAGGGAAAATAGAACATGTTGTGACCACTGGAAAGATATGTGGAAGGAGAGACAGACGAAGACAACGAGAGAAGATGCTTGACAGTCTTTTTGCATGGCATGGAAGTGTGTCGCCATACGAACTGATACATGCTGCAGGAGATCGCAGATTATGGAGAGGCATGATCACCCACGCCAGTCGGCAAGGCACCTGATGATGATGATGATGCAGAAGTTGGTGTAAAGTAACCACTATTCGTATTCGGCCTGACCGCAAGTATTCAACCGAATACAGAATAGTTATTATGTCCACTATTCAGCCCCCGAAGCAAATACAAAGCAAATGTTTGGTACAGCTCTAGTGTCAAAGTACAGAGCAATGACTGAGTTAACTGTGAATCCTCAGAACATAATCATCTTCATGATCCTGTTGCGCTATAATTTTCTCATTAGACTTGAGGTGTGTTCTTCCAATTCATTCAATCCTGTGAAATCTTTTTAATATCATTTGGGGAATCTTTCTTCTTGGCGTTCACCAGCTGTAAACTTTGGCAGAAAGTTCTGGTTGTTCATCCACCTCTGTACTTTAGACTTGTTCTAGCACCTGAATGTTGCATGCACATCCGCTTTACAGATCTAACTTATTTGTAAGGAGACTGTTGGTTCCTTACCTCTCAGGCAGATGCACTCCAACTTTGAAGGAAACCCTCAATTAGTCGACTCTTACGACACGCATGTTGGGGGACAGTGGATCTATTCTTGTTTTCCCCACAACAGGGCTCTGGAACCAGCATGGGGATTGTGGAATCTCGTTCCAGCATCTTGGATGTCCCTCATCAGCCAGCATCTTGAGTGTCCCTCATCAGCCAGCATCTTGAGTGTCCCTCATCAGCCAGCATCTTGAGTGTCCCTCATCAGCCAGCATCTTGAGTGTCCCTCATCAGCCAGCATCTTGGGTGTCCCTCATCCGCGAGCATCTTGGGTGTCCCTCATCCGCCAGCATCTTTAGTGTCCCTCATTAGCGTTCATTTAAGAGTTTCTATCTGGTTTCTATCTGATGTCCGTGTTTCTCAATCCATTTATTTCTCATTTCAGTAGCTGGTGATTCTCTGCTAGGTTCTTTTTAAGATGGGCCCAATACAGCACCACCTCTTTGTCTTATAACTGCGGACAGCAACAGTTAGTCAGATATTTCTCTTATTCTTTCTCTTCTTCTTTACATCCTCTTTTACTGCGGCTGTTGAGGGAGACATAAGGTCCAGCTTCATGCTCTTCTGACTGCTTCGACCATAGACACACCATGGTGCTGTAAAGTTTCCCTGATGTTATCTTTCCATCTTGTTCTTGGTCTACCTCTTGCTCTAAGTCCTTCTCCTCTTTTATTTCTCTTATATATTTACCTGTATTGAATTCATCTTGAATCCTCAGAACACTTGAGTTTTAAATCTTGAGTCTGATGCTCCCTGTGTGGGTTCAAGGACACCCTTTTCAGGAAAACAAGAACAAACTCACTAACTCCCCAACAATCATTTCGTAAGAGGGCTAAAAGCTTCCTTTAAAGTCAGAGTGCATCTGCTCAGTCAAAGGGATGCCCACGCAAAAACTCAGGTCCCGGCACAAAACCAAAGTCCAAATGGATGAAAAACCTGGATTGTTCACTGCCAGAGCTTGCAGCCGGTCAACAAAGAAGAAGAAGAAGAATTTGATGCACTGAGGTTCAGGTCCTTTGAGTCCTGAAAAGGGCTTTCATGTGTGTGAATTTGTATGCCTCTTGAATCTTGTTGTCCGCTCTTAAGATAATTATTGATGTAAAGGACTGAAAACCAATAGGAAAATACACTCGACAACATAACAATTGAAAGCTAAAGTTACCACTGTGGTAATCGAACCTATTACCTCCAAATAATAACAGCACCTATCTATCAGTATAGCAAATGACAGTACAATAAGAGAATAAGTCTACCCTGGCCAGTCTCCACTGACTGCAGCTGTTCCTTCAGTTCCCTAATTCGCTGTTTCTTGCTGTTCAATACCAAGACAAACTGTAGAGGATTACACACAGAACAAAAGTTTATTCACACTACTATAGTTATCTGTACTTTCTTTCCTTCTTCAGCGGGTAAACATCTGTTAACTTGTCAGTTCTGGCTGTTTGTTTGCTTCTGACCGTTAGTCTTGTACTAGAACTTGAGTTATGCATTCTAACCCATTTTACAGATCTGGTTTATCTGTCGGTACCTCACTTCTCAGGGAGATGCACTACAACATCGAAAGGGACACCCTTAATGAGCCAACAACAAGCTTATTGGGGAGGGGGGGGGGGGGGGTTGGTGGCAGTGGGTCTACCTCCCCCCCCCCCCCCACCCCATGGGGCCCCAGGTCCACAGGCGGAAGTTATCTGTACTTATATTTTCTTATGTTGCGATGTCATCTGTTTGTGATCATAGCCCACAAGGGTAACAGTGGTAACACTAAAACTTACCATGTATGTCATAAGAGGCAACAAAGAAAGGCTGCTGAACAGTCAGACGATTAGTGAACAATTATTTGAAAGCTGCAGAGATGTGGTTTGAAAGACAAACAATGAGAATAAGAAAGTGACTCACGATGAGAACTGATTGCCCACATCAGAAGGAGACAATCTACATTGTCTAGCCTTGTCATGAAAAGGAGAAAACTGGAGTACATTGTGACGGCAGGAAAGTTAGAGGGGAAAGAGGCAGAGGGAGGCTAAGAGAGAAGATGCTGGACAGTATGACATATGACTACTAACGCTTCACGTCATGGAATATAAGAAGAGTAAGGAAGACTAATGAAAAATCTCCTAAGTTGTTTCTTGATATTTTCATTTCTGATGCTGCCTCTTCTTCGTAGTTACATTTACGATTCTTCTTCTTTTTCGCGTTACCCAGCTGTAAACTCTGGCGGAAAGTTATGGTTGTTCGTCTACTTCTGGATTCTAGCCCTGTTTCAGAAACTGACTGTTGCATGCTCATCAGTTTTATAAGTCTGACTCATTTGCCTGCAGACTGTTGGTTCCTTGCCTCTTAGGCAGATTTACTCCCACACCGAAGGAAGCTCCTAATTAGTCGACTCTTACAAAATGCTTTTGTGCAGGCAGTGGGTCTATTCTTGTTTTCCCACAATGGGACCCTGGAACTCAAACATGGAACATTTAGGATTCCTTGCAGAAATTTAATTTCTGTGGTTTCGACGTAGACATTTCTTTTCCTTTTCTAGACAATTTCCACTTTGGCAGCAGTAACATAATGCTGGTAAAAATACTGTTAAAAGACTTTAAGAAGTAAACTTGAGTGACAAGCATCACTTCAGAGGTCCCGGGTAGTTAACATCCTTTAAATATTTTCTCCAGGTCAGGCTGGTGTGTGGGGAAATAAGCAGGCAGATAGAATGGCTGGCTCTGCACCACTTGGTGGTGAATTGATGTATAACGAGTTAGATATTGTGAGGGCCCTTTGGGAGCGAGTCAACAGTGCAAAGGTACAAAGAGATCATTATGGTCTAAGGAGAATGGCGCTGCGAGGAGTTACCAGGGGATCTGGCCAACACTCAACACTCAGGTGAAGGATGTTACGGATATACAATCAGACGGTTACTGGTACCATCAGAATTGGAACTCTTCACTTGTTGCTGAAGATGGGGACTGAGCACTTATAGGAGTGTCCCGAGTGCTGTGATGTCGATTCTTAATTGAACATTCAACTTTGAAGACGTACTCTAAGCCTTGAACACTGCTACATACCTTAGAATACAAGTCCTTCTCCAGCTGATCTTTAGCAGTGACACATTTATCCAGCCTCTGAAAGCAGACACATTTAAAATAACAGTTGACTGTTGCAGTCACAATCCTAATAATAATAGGAACTGCAAAGGCATAGTAGTTAAAGACTTGACTGCTGGCACAAAAGTCTTAGGTTTAATTCCACACTAGGCAGATTCAGATTTAAAAAGCTGTTTGCCTCACACTTTGTCTTCTGTTCTGATCCTAAAACCTGGCAAGTCGCTGCATGGGATCGCTCATCCTGGCGCTCCTCTCTTCATCAAAAAGCTGTGGCCTATAAAGCTGCTAGAACTGCAGCAACAATTCAGAAAAGACAGGTCAGGAAAGACACAGAAGCAAATCACCTGAGAGATTCGGCTTCTATCCCCTGTCCACATTGCTCAAGAACTTTCAGTGCTAGAATTTGCATAATCAGCCATCTGCGCACTCACAAAACCTAATCCAGTCACTATTGGATGAAAGGACTGGTCATCATCACCTGAGTTGAACAAACAACATGTCATGGTTCATTTTGCTGACTGTATAGTTTGATTAACGAAAACTAGCGGGCACACTTGCCCGTTGGTCACTTTTGACTTCTTTTTGAGGCAGTGATATCTATCCCAAATATGGGCTCCCAGGTCGTCCAAGCTCAAAACTGGTACCAGAAAATAACTTTGATGTGAAGGCCCTGAGAATGAAATAGACTACATTACTCATGTAGCTCTGCCACGTTATGAGAATGAATTCTGATATACCTGCCAAAACAGCTCTCATATGGATACCAGAAGGAAAGAGAAAAAATGGGCGAAGAAGAACGATGGAAAGTGACCTGAGTGCGGCATCTTTGACATGGAAAACTGCACTGAAGACTGGACAGGAAAGCATGGAAAGTCCTCTCTGAAGCCTCATGTGCCACTAGGCACAAAGAGAACTGACACTCAAGTAGCTCTAGTATCTAGTGGTGTTCAGAAATAAAAAGCTGGTACAGATGTCAAGTTAATCAGTTAATTATAGTTCCGACTTCACAGCCAAAGGAAGCATCCTAAAACTGCTATGTTCCTGTGCCTACAAAAGACACACACAATGTCTATAACCAGGAGTTTTGTTTATTTTTATCTCTTATATATGAATAGTCATTCTTTTACTTAGGTTAGAGTGCCACAGAAACATTTAATTTTTTTTTAAAAGGCGCTGCGACTAAAAAAAGTTTGGAAACACTGTCTGTAACTGTTCTTTGTGGGAAAAACTGTTACAGACTGCTGTCTCAGCAAAGCCAATAGTATACACACAAATTAAATGTATAAGGCAGATGTCAGAATCTCCACACAAACAGTCCCACACAAGAAATGCAGTTCATCATCAATGGAAGCAGCTATAGAGCAAGATGCATACACATGTCATAATTGTAACAGACTCTAAAGGCATGCTGAGAAAGGGGAAGACAGGGATGCTTCGAGCAGAGTGGCAAGCTTTACTGGGAAGGTCAGGGGAAGTTAGCATTCGTTGAATCTTTTCTCCTGGCAATTCTGGCGTAGTGGGTGATGCTGGATCTGCACCGCTGAGTGGTGAATTGATTCATGATATGGCAGATTTGGTCAAGGCTCTTTGGGAACAAACAATGGAATCAGTAGAGAAAAAAGATTATTATGGCCTGGAGAGAATGAGGCACCTGGGTGAAACCAGAGGGTCTGGCCAGCTCACTACACTCAGAGGAAAGATAAGCTGGACATATAACCAGAATGTGATTTGTACCATCACTATTGGAACTCTGCATTGGCTGCTGAAGATGAGTACGGAGCACACATGGGAATGCCTCGAGTGCTGTGATGTCAATTCTTGACTCAACTCAACTCTTTATATTAATATTAGCAGTAGATGAAGAACCATAGCTTTCTACTGGAGTTGGAGGCTGGTGAGCATTAAGAGGAAAAAATGAATTTTGCATTTTTGGAATTTTTTCTTTTAAACTAACGTTGACTCACAGGTTGTCAAAGCCTAAAGTGAGTAATAGGTGATGATCTGGGAAGTAAAATCGGCCAGCATGATGCTGACTACATCACCCATCGAGTGCTGATTGGTCCATACAAATACAGGACCAGCAGCAGATGCCCTAAAGGCATGACAAGGGTCCTTTCTTGACTTCTAATATTTCACAACCAGGCTAAGTGAATCATTAAAAACAAATGTTCATCTACTGATTGGCACTGATGTTGTTGTTTGTTCATCATTATAAACAAATGTTCATGTACTGATTGGCACTGTTGTTGTTGTTTGTTCATCATTATAAACAAATGTTCATGTACTGATTGGCACTGATGTTGTTGTTTGTTCATCCTTATAAACAAATGTTCATGTACTGATTGGCACTGATGTTGTTGTTTGTTCATCCTTATAAACAAATGTTAATGTACTGATTGGCACTGATGTTGTTGTTTGTTCATCCTTATAAACAAATGTTCATGTACTGATTGGCACTTATGTTGTTGTTTGTTCATCCATCACAAGTGATAAGGACCACTATCACAAGTGATGGGGACCACTATCACAAGTCATGAGGACCACTATCACAAGTCATGAGGACCACTATCACAAGTGATGAGGGCCACTATCACAAGTCATGAGGACCACTATCACAAGTGATGAGGGCCACTTTCACAAGTCATGAGGACCACTATCACAAGTGATGAGGACCACTATCACAAGTGATGAGGACCACTATCACAAGTCATGAGGACAACTATCACAAGTCATGAGGACAACTATCACAAGTCATGAGGACCACTATCACAAGTGAAAAGGGCCACTATCACAGTTCATGAGGACCACTATCACAAGTGATGAGGACCACTATCACAAGTGATGAGGACCACTATCACAAGTGATGAGGACCACTATCACAAGTCATGAGGACCACTATCACAAGTCATGAGGGCCACTATCACAAGTGATGAGGACCACTATCACAAGTCATGAGGACCACTATCACAAGTGATGAGGACCACTATCACAAGTCATGAGGACCACTATCACAAGTGATGAGGGCCACTTTCACAAGTCATGAGGACCACTATCACAAGTCATGAGGACCACTATCACAAGTCATGAGGACCACTATCACAAGGGATGAGGACCACTATCACAAGTGATGAGGACCACTATCACAAGTCATGAGGACCACTATCACAAGGGATGAGGACCACTATCACAAGTGATGAGGACCACTATCACAAGTCATGAGAACCACTATCACAAGTGATGAGGACCACTATCACAAGTGATAAGAACCACTATCACAAGTCATGAGGACCACTATCACAAGCCATGAGGACCACTATTACAAGTCATGAGGACCACTATCACAAGTCATGAGGACCACTATCACAAGTCATGAGGACCAGCCTTTCTTTCATTTGCCATGAAACTATAGTTGGCTGTCCTCCGAGTCCAGAGGTAACATCCCATGAAACTATAGTTGATTGTCTCTAAGTCCAGAGCTAACATAAGCCAAATACGGGCCAGGAAGCATCTAGGACAATGAGGACAGTGACAAATTTCTGTACATAAATGGCCTGTTACAAGAAGAAAAAAGCAGATACAGGATTGAAGTTCCTTATTACCTTGAGAGCGTTCTGGCGTTCAATGGAAAGTCTCTCATTGTCCGACTCCAGAGATTGCACCTTAGCCTGTAGGGCCTGGCTCCGAGCAATGCATTGACTGAGGATTTGGCAAACTGTTACTGCAGAAGTCGGGCATTTCTTCAAGGTCACTGAACCGAGATGGAACTGCAGATAAATTAGAGAAGGTGATGCACAGTTACAGGTGAGAGGATCTACTTCACTGCACTGGGTTTAATCCCACATGGGTCAGTCTTTCTCTGTGGAATTGCTAGAATCCTCACTCAAAGCACTAAACTCTGTAGCTACAGCCACAATCCCCAGGGATATCTATCAAATACTGCACCTGTGAAACGAATAACATGTCCATGAAACAATAATGTGTCCATGAAATAATAATGTGTCCATGGAACAAACCCATGATTTTCAGAGCATGAGGCAAACGGCTTGACCCATCTGCCATGGACCCCCATACAGAACATATACATAATCATAGCGGTTAATGCGATGTTTGCCTGCCAAGGCCCTGGTCTGAGTTCAATCCTCAGGAGCTGAGTTGAGTTGATTCAAGAACCGACATCACAACACTCAGGACATTCCCATAAGTGCTCTATCCCCTCTTCAGCAGCCAGCACAGAGTTCTAATATGGTACCAGTAGCACTCTGATTATATGTCTGTCTTGCCTGTCCTCCGAGCGTCGAGTATCAGCCTGATCCCCTCAATCCCTCCTCACTGCATCACTCTCACCAGACTGATGATCAATTTGCTCCATTGAACTGCCCATGTGCTCACATAAAGCCTTCACCACATCTGCCTTATCATGAATCAATATTCCACCAAGCTGTGCAGAGCCAGCCAATATGTCCATCTGTTAATTTCCCAACACACTGGCATAACCCGGAGAAAAGACCCAGACTCAGGAGAGACAGAGTAATTAATCCGACCAGTAAGGATTGACCCAGATACATGAAAATGGATGGCAGCCAAGGCAGCATAGTGGCTTGACTATGAAAGAAAGAGTAGACCCGCTGACCCCCTCCCCCACCAATCCATTGCTGATGTTTCATACACGCTCAAAGACTGTTGACTGTCACTGTTGTGTGCAATCCGAAGATCCACACTAGGACAACCAATAATGAACATAGGGTATGACGAGAGACACGACGTCACATGCCCACAGGAATTTATTCCAGACAGATGACGGTTGCAAGAAATGTGTTGATGGCCGAGGTTGGAAACCAGTCTTAGATGGATCCGTAGTTGATGCCGCTGTTTGCGGGGAGCTGAGGCTCATTGCTCCGGATTGGAGGAACCGTACAGAGGACAGTCACAAGAAATGTGTTGATGGCAGATGTTGGAAACCAGTCTTAGATGGATCCGTAGTTGATGCCGCAGTTTGTGGGGAGCTGAGGCTCATTGCTCCGGATTGGAGGAACCGTCGTTTAATATAGTGACTGTACTATATGCCTTTCATTGACACCATTTATATCTGTGAGGAATTGCTTAATAAAATTCTTGTATTTGCCTGCCAACCACGTGTTTCTGGAATGTAGCAGTTTTCAAGGGTTGACTTCGTTGCGGCGTTTTTCTGCCAGTCGTTGGTTAGTTGACAGTTGTACCCCTAGAATAATCGTTTACTTGGTAGCCCGTACAGAAAGGAAAAAGAACCCGTACAGAATGGGAGGCCAAGCCACTCCGTCATCTTTCCAGATCCTGTGGAATTAACGCTTCATACATACGGTCACATCTGTCATTATTTGAGATGAAGTGACTATTACTGCTTAACGCTTGCTGTGGACCGTTATCATCGTCGTCGTATCTACGTGTCATCGTTGGATTTACAAGCCACTATTACTGGAAAACACTTGCGTGGACCGTTATCATCGCACCGTCACTGCATTCACGTGCCGTCGGATTCAAACCACTCGACGTTGGATCTCTTTCGCAGCGGCTCGTCACTGGAGTTAGTGTACATCAGCTCATCACTGGAGTCTTTGCACACCTACCACATTGTTGGAAACACATCGGGTAATGTTTTTTGTTGCTGGTCCGTGTGTAATTGCTGCGTTTGCTCTCATTATAGTGGTCGAGGTGTCAGTGTCGCTGAGTTAGTGGGGTACTTTAATAGTAAAAGACTTTTGCGATCTCTCTTGCTCTATTGTCTGCGTCTAGTTAGTGACGGTTCTTGACGTCATTCTTCGTGTTATCGTTCGTAATTTCTAAGTGTAATTTCTTTTTTGACAGGCAATTTGTATCGTCATTAGTTTTCTAATTCGTCAATTCCATGGCGTCGCTTTGTACGTTCGTTGGATTGATTGGTGTGTTGTATCATTACGTTATATTACATATTGTTGTGTTCTGTAAAGCATATAGTCCACAAATATACACGCGATTTATAATTCACATAAGAAAATGACATCTTTTGTGGAGTTCATAGAGCTGGGTCGTTCCCTGGGTTTGGACTCTGATAATCTTATCGCCTTCGCCGAGGCTAGAACTAGGGATAGGGAGGCTCAAGAAAAAGAAATTGCGCTTCGTGAAGAAAGAGCATTGGACAGGGCGCAGAGAAAACTGGAGGCAGAATTGCAAATTCAGATACTTAAGGCAGAGAAGGAAAAGGCGGAAGCAGTGGCACAGAAACTCGAGAGGGAATCACATCTGCATATTGCTCTAGAGAAAGAGAAGACAGAACTACAACTTAAGCTAGCTGAGGCAGAAAGGCAAAATTTAAAGAAGAAGAAGAGTTAAAAATTAGGCTTGAAAAAGACAAGATTGAGACTCAACAATTGCTTCAGGAGAGTGAACTAGCTCTAAGAAGAGAACAACTTCTGCAGAGCATGCAGGACAATGATAAACTACAACAGCTTAAGGATAAGGAGCTGGAGTTGTCCTACAAACAACACCAACTAAAATTCAACACTGAGCTGGAAATTGCAAAGGTTGAGAGAGATAAGTCTATCGCACTCAAAGAAGCAGAAGGCAGTATGGGTGTGGAATCAAATTCAAATCTCAGATATGACCGAAGTGGTGGCTTATACAAGCCAAGGTTGCCTTTTCTAACGTGTAACGACTCTTTACATGATTTTCTTCAATGTTTTCAGGAGACTATGACGGGGGCAGAGATACCGGAGGCGCAGTGGGTATCTCGTCTCAGGGACTTGCTAACAGGATCGGTGTTAACCACTTTCACCAACCTGTCGCCAGAGGACAGAACATCGTTTCCGATAGTGCGTCAAAAGTTGCTAAAATCGCAGAATTTAACTGCAGAGGGGTATCGGAAAGTTTTAAAGATATTATTCCATCAACAGAGGTGAGTTTCGGCAGTTTTGTGGCCAGTGTGAGGACGCTTTTTTCCAGATGGACAACGCTCGCTGAGATAAATGGATCGTATGATCGCCTGGTGGATCTGATAATTCAGGACAAGATACTATCTTGTTGCAGTACGGAGTTGTATGTATTTTTCCAAGAGAGGAAACCCACCACGGTTGACGAAATGGTGAAACTAGGCGAACAGTACATGAGTGCACATCCAGGAAGAGCACTTCACAGGGAGAAATTCTCTGATGCATTTGCAGCCGCGTCGAGCATGCGAGGAAACCATTCAAGGGGTTCAGATGTCGACTCATGTAGAAAAATCCCCAAGAGTTAAGACACATGAGCATGAAAGGTCGCATAGTGAGGATAGATCGAGGCAACCCAACAGATCCGGGGTTGGGCAAAATCAATCACCCAGATATTACAGCAGGTGTAGAGGTTGTGGATATTGTTTGTCCTGGCGCCATGAATCAAATCGTTGCCCAGATCAAGGCAGGAAACAGGACAATAATGGGTACTCAAATCGTGACAGGAGACCAGAACGTAAAGGAAATCTGAAATGTTACGTATGTAACGGTTCTCATCTGAAAAGGAATTGTCCAAGATTGTCACCGAGGCAGGGCAATACTGTGCAGGTAATGCGGGTTGGCAGCAATAAAAGTAGAACCCCAAGGGAAACTATTCAGGTAAGGGTGCGACCTGAGATCACATACCCTGCTTTGTCTGCTTTGCCGACGGTGGGGGGATTGCCCCTGTATTTTGGTTACATTGGAAGGGTGATTCTGGTAGTCTGGTAGTCTTAGTTTCAGCTTCATAGCAATCGGGTCACCCCATCTTTGCTCCGCCCCTGTGCCAACGAAAAACACACAGAATGTTTATCACAGTATTAGAATTGCAGTTCATCATTGATGGTAGCAGAAGTCGCCAACAGATCAGCAGTTGCCCACGCGATCAATTTTAATCACATACGGGCACCACAACACTGCACGACAGGCATCGCGCCATTTTCTGAATCTACAATTCACACCAACACGTTGGTCACAGTCGGAAGGGTGAGGTGCACTGTGCTCCGAGACAGCGGGGAAAACATAATCGGGGTTGCAAGACACCTGGTACCCTCTTCTGCATTTACGGGAAAATATGCAAAGTGCCGTACATTCGGGGGGAACTTAGAAAAGTATCCTCTTGCTATTGTGAAGATTCGTTGTCCCTATTTTACAGGCGTTGCTGAGGTCTGTGTGGTAAATCGTAGCTCGCCGGATATCATTCTGGGTACAGTTCCTGGTGTGAGGTCCTGCACACAGGAGGAAATTGAATGCTGGAACCGTGAGAAGGATGTCGTTGCTAATGCTGTCACAAGGGCACAACAGCAGAAAGATAAAACATCAGAGGCAGCAAAAAAATTAACAGAGGTAATTCACCCAAAAGCAGTGGTTTTCGAGAGTGGTGTGAACGAAGGTGCATCAGTTACAGGATCAATATCACACTCTGCACAATCATTTGCTGAGGCGCAGCGTGCAGATCACACGCTGGATAAATGCTTTGAGAAAACAAGGACGCCGGTTTATAAGGTTACCAAAAATGGTAAATGTCAATTTTTCTTGAGGAATGGCTTGTTGATGCGTTATTTCGAATCGGCGCAACGTACTTACAAACAACTGGTGGTTCCCAAAACATTCAGGGGAGATGTGCTGAGGACAGCGCATGACACACCCTTCGCAGGTCATTTGGGTATGGGCAAAACACATAGGCGCATTCTATCCAAATTTTACTGGCCGGGCTGTTCCACGGATGTCAAGAAATACTGCAAATCATGTCGCGAATGCCAGATTATGGCACGAAAAGATTCGGCTCAGCGTGCATCAATTCAGGGGATTTATTTACCATATCGTCATTTCGAGAAGGTGGCAATTGACATAGTGGGTCCGCTATCTGTAATGTCTAACAGAGGTTATAGGTACATTCTTACCTTTGTTGATCTTGCGACTCGTTGGCCTGAGGGGATTCCTTTAAAAAACATTACCACAGAGACGGTGGCGGATACCCTGATGTTAATATTTTCTAGACTGGGTTTTCCAGACACTATTTTATCTGATCATGGTACTCAGTTTATTTCTGAGACGATGCAATCGTTTGACAAGCTGTTGTCAATTGCACATGTATTTTCTGCCAGATTCAACCCACAGGCGAATGGAGTTGTGGAGAATTTTAATGGGCGTTTGAAGGCTATGTTGGCAAAGGTCACCGCTGAGTTTCCAACCGATTGGGATCGTTATTTACCGGCGGTATTGTTTGCCTACAGGGAAGTTCCCCAGGCAAGTACAGGATATTCACCATTTGAACTCGTGTATGGTGCGAATCCGAGAGGCCCAATGTCTATCATCAAGGATCTCTGGACAAATCGGGACAGAGAAGGCGTCTCCAAGACATACACACAGTTTGTAACTGAATTACGTCATAAGATTATCACCAGTTGCGAGATCGCCAGAGAAAGTCTGCAGCAGGCGGGATTTCGACAACACGAGTATGTCAATAAGGGACGTAGGCTCGTTTCTCTTAAGCCTTCTGACGAGGTTCTTCTATTTCTTCAGGACGGATCGAATCGTTTGTTGTCATCGTGGCAAGATCCATTCCGGGTGGTTCGGAAGATATCGTCAGTTGACTATTTGGTGGATGTGAGAGGACACCTGAAAGTATATCATATCAATATGCTCAAACTTTTTACACCGCGACCTAAACGTCTGGAGGAAATCATTGATATTGCAACGGAAGGAGGCGAGGCTCCGAACACAGATGAACCACTGGAGGCGAGTTTCTGTCATGTGGTCAACGAAACACCAGATAATCCTGAGGAGGAGTCCTACTTGCCTATTGTGCTACCTTCCTTGATACCTAAGGAATCCTGGGGGGATGTGGAGATCTCAAGCTCCATGCCTCAGGAATATGCGGGTCGTGTTAGAAAACTTCTTGCATCGTTTTCTACTATTTTCACGGACATTCCGGGAAGGACATCGCAGGCTGTTCACACAATCAAGCTAGTGGATGATCGACCTATCAAATTACGACCATACGATTTGCCATTACACTATGAGAGTTTAGTGGAAAAAGAATTGAGAGAAATGTTGCGTTTGGGTATTATTGAGCCATCTACCTCACCCTATTCTTTCCCTATGGTAATAGTAAGGAAGAAGGATGGAACCGTCCGTATATGTATAGACTACCGCAAGCTTAATCGCATTACTGTGATAGATGCAGAGAATATGCCAAACATAGACGATATGTTCCATAGGTTGGCAACAGCAAGGTTCTTCACTAAACTAGATTTGTCAAAAGGGTATTGGCAGATCCCGCTGGCGGAGGAGTCCAAACAATTCACGGCTTTTCAGTCCCCTCTAGGTTTATTACAGTTTAAATATATGAGTTTCGGTCTGACCAATGGTCCGGCCACCTTCACTCGTCTAGTTAGGAAACTGGCTGTCGGTCGTTCTGACTTGATTTATTATTTGGATGACCTTCTACTATTCCATGACAATTTGAATGACCATCTTGCTTCTTTAAAATCTCTTCTTGACAAAATCAGAGAGTTTGGGTTAACGATTCGTCCTTCTAAGGTACAAGTAGCCTTTCAAAAGCTTACTTTTTTGGGCCATGTAGTTGGCGACGGTATTCTTCAACCGGAAGACCACAATGTGGCGAAAATTCTGAACATTCCAACGCCAAAAACTAAGAAAGATGTTAGAGCGCTGCTAGGTCTGTGCAATTTCTATTCGAAATTCATTCCTCATTATTCGTCGGTTATGTCTGTCTTGTCGGAGCTGACACGGAAGACGATGCCTCGTTTGGTATACTGGGACCAGGCGTGTGCTAAGGCACTGGACCACATACAAAAGGCATTTAAACAGCATCCATTTTTAAGACTACTGAATCTATCAATGGATTTCTATTTGTCCACAGATTCGTCGAACACGGGGATAGCCGCAGTACTGAGCCAGAGATATGATGGGCAGTTACTACCTTGCCTGTTTGCGAGCAGGAAGCTGACACCAACCGAGACACGTTATAGTGTGTCAGAGAGGGAGGCCCTCGGCGTGTACTGGTCCATTTCCAGATTCAGCAAATATTTGATGGGCCAGCATTTCTACATTCTAACCGACCATCAGGCTCTAACTGAAATGAAAACGAGTTCCGTGGCCAACGCTCGTATATTACGTTGGGCCATAGCATTACAATCGTTTAATTATACGGTGGTCTACCAAAGTGGACGAGAGAACATTCTGGCTGATTACCTGTCAAGATGTCCTGGTGTTTCAAATTAATGCATTGATTTGTTTAATTTGTTTAGAGCTGACATGACCAGTGTACAATGTGATTTAGGAGCTATGCATTTATGTGATTGATAATATTATTTAGGTTATATTGCTGTTGTTGGTAGTTCATAGTTATATCAATAATTGTTATTAGTGTGGATACACATTCATCGCTATTGGTTGCATAATCGTTGTGAGTTGACTGGACGAAGACGTTACGATTGTGGATCTTTGGAGTGTTTCAACAGATGTATTACAATGATCATTAAACTGGAACCCCGGTTCCCAGTTTCTCAGAGAGGGGGGATAAGCTGTTGTGTGCAATCCGAAGATTCACACTACGGACAACCGATAATGAACATAGGGTATGACGAGAGACACGACGTCACTTGCCGACAGGAATTTATTCCAGACAGATGACGGTTGCAAGAAATGTGTTGATGGCGGAGGTTGGAAACCAGTCTTAGATGGATCCGTAGTTGATGCCGCTGTTTGCGGGGAGCTGAGGCTCATTGCTCCAGATTGGAGGAACCGTACAGAGGACAGTCACAAGAAATGTGTTGATGGCAGATGTTGGAAACCAGTCTTAGATGGATCCGTAGTTGATGCCGCAGTTTGCGGGGAGCTGAGGCTCATTGCTCCGGATTGGAGGAACCGTCGTTTAATATAGTGACTGTACTATATGCCTTTCATTGACACCATTTATATCTGTGAGGAATTGCTTAATAAAATTCTTGTATTTGCCTGCCAACGACGTGTTTCTGGAATGTAGCAGTTTTTAAGGGTTGACTTCGTTAAGGCATTTTTCTGCCAGTCGTTGGTTAGTTGACAGTTGTACCCCTAGAATAATCGTTTACTTGGTAGCCCGTACAGAAAGGAAAAAGAACCCGTACAGTCACTAACAACAACAACATCCATCTAGCACTCACTGACTGGTCAATCTTACCTTGACATCCACAGCCAGAATTTTCTTCCATGAAAGCTGAGCTGACATTGCCGTAGACTTAAAGTGACACTCAAAGCTCTGCTTAGACACATTCTCTTGCGTGAAGGCTGCCTTTGTCTCTTTGACATATGTATCAAAATCCATTCTTACCTTTGCACACAGTTCATCTAAGTCATCTTCTGAAACTAGAATGAGATTATATTAATTTCCTGAAACAGGATACCATCTTTTTTCTATGCCATTAGATGTCACTGAGGGCCTAATGTCTATTCTTCCATTTCATTTTATCCTGTGCAACTAAAAAAATATGTAACCGGTTTGCCCACTGGCTCACCGGTAGACGACTTCCTTGCCGGTCGGGACAGTATTTTAGTCTGTCTCCTCTGATAGCATCAACACTGCAAAAGTTCTTTACAGAGCTACTTGGTGGCGAGCAATGCTAAGCCATTTTATAGGCGCACATAACCTAGTTACAATTATAAAGTAAAGCTCCCACTTCAGGGATGCTAGTTGAAAGTGACGATATTTTTTCGCAAAACAAGCTACAGTCCTCTCTACGACAGCAGAGGTTCTAGGTTCACATCTAGAAGCCCCATCACACATTCACAGGTTCCCACCTAGAAGCCCCATCACACATTCACAGGTTCCCACCTAGAAGCCCCATCACACATTCACAGGTTCCCACCTAGAAGCCCCATCACACATTCACAGGTTCCCACCTAGAAGTCCCATCACACATTCACAGGTTCCCACCTAGAAGCCCCATCACACATTCACAGGTTTCCACCTAGAAGCCCCATCACACTTTCACAGGTTCCCACCTAGAAGCCCCATCACACATTCACAGGTTTCCACCTAGAAGCCCAATGAATGCATCAAAAATTCACAGGTTCCCACCTAGAGGCCCAATGAATGCACCATAAATTCACAGGTTCCCACCTAGAGGCCCAATGAATGCACCATAAATTCACCGGTTCCCACCTAGAGGCCCAATGAATGCATCATACATTCACAGGTTCCCACCTAGAGGCCCAATGAACGCATCATACATTCACGTTCCCACCTAGAAGCCCAATGAACGCATCATACATTCACAGGTTCTCACCTAGAGGCCCAATGAACGCACCATACATTCACAAGTTCCCACCTAGAGGCCCAATGAACGCATCATATATTCATAGGTTTCCACCTAGAGGCCCAGTGAATGCACCATAAATACACAGGTTCCCAAATAGAAGCCCAATGAACGCATCACACATTCACAGGTTCCCACCTAGAGGCCCAATGAACGCATCACACATTTACGTTCCCATCTAGAGGCCCAATGAACACATCACACATTTACAGGTTCCCACCTAGCGGCCCAATGAACGCATCACACATTTACAGGTTCCCACCTAGAGGCCCAATGAACGCATCACACATTCACAGGTTCCTACCTAGAAGTTCAATGAACGCATCACACATTTACAGGTTCCCACCTAGAGGCCCAATGAACGCATCACACATTTACAGGTTCCCACCTAGAGGCCCAATGAATGCATCATAAATTCACAGGTTCCCACCTAGAGGCCCAATGAATGCACCATAAATTCACAGGTTCCCACCTAGAGGCCCAATGAATGCACCAAAAATTCACAGGTTCCCACCTAGAGGCCCAATGAATGCACCATAAATTCACAGGTTCCCACCTAGAGGCCCAATGAATGCATCATAAATTCACAGGTTCCCACCTAGAGGCCCAATGAATACACCATAAATTCACAGGTTCCCACCTAGAGGCCCAATGAATGCATCATACATTTACAGGTTCCCACCTAGAGTCCCAATGAATGCATCATACATTCACGTTCCCACCTAGAAGCCCAATGAACGCATCATACATTCACAGGTTCCCACCTAGAGGCCCAATGAACGCACCATACATTCACAGGTTCCCACATAGAGGCTTAATGAACGCATCATACATTCATAGGTTTCCACCTAGAGGCCCAATGAATGCACCATAAATACACAGGTTCCCAAATAGAAGCCCAATAAACACACATCAAACATTCACAGGTTCCCACCTAGAAGCCCAATGAACGCATCACACATTTACAAGTTCCCACCAAGAGGCCTAATAAACGCATCACACATTTACAGGTTCCCACCTAGAGACCCAATAAACGCATCACACATTTACAGGTTCCCACCTAGAGGCCCAATGAACGCATCACACATTTACAGGTTCCCGCCTAGAGGTTCAATGAACGCATCATACATTCACAGGTTCCCAGCTAGAGGCCCAATGAACGCATCACACATTTACAGGTTCACACCTAGAGGCCCAATGAATGCATCATACATTCACAGCTTTTACCTAGAGGCCCAATGAATGCATCATACATTTACAGGTTTTACCTAGAAGCCCAATGAACGCAAGAGGTGTGGATTATATGTTTGTTTTTATTACACAACTGGGCCTCTGATGCTAAACCCCTTTGGATTTAAAGAGTAAAATTTGAGTGTTAAAAAGTATGGGGTTAGTGGCAGATGTTTAAAAAAAAAAGAGTGCACATTTTAGCTAAGAAGAAGAAGAACAGAGCACTTATGAGTTACTGTGTGCCATGATGATCCGTTGTAAAAAACCTCAGACCATACAGTAAGGCTAAGAAATGTTCCACATTTAGCCGGCACATCCGACTACTGCAGGCATTTGTTGACTGGTTAGCCTCTCCCCTCGTTCAGACAATTCCCAAAAATGTTCACCATCCAGGACTTGAGTATGAAATCTTCCTGTCCTTCATTCTTTGTTTGAGGTACCCTTAGTCCAGCACTTCTAAAACAGACACTCTGTGGTGTGTACTAGCACCTTATATTAGGTACCTTGTGGTGTGTACTAGCACCTTATATTAGGTACCTTGTGGTGTGTACCAGCACCTTATATTAGGTACCTTGTGGTGTGTACCAGCACCTTATATTAGGTACCTTGTGGTGTGTACCAGCACCTTATATTAGATACCTTGTGGTGTGTACCAGCACCTTATTTTAGGTACCTTGTGGTGTGTACCAGCACCTTATATTAGGTACCTTGTGGTGTGTACCAGCACCTTATATTAGGTACCTTGTGGTGTGTACCAGCACCTTATATTAGGTACCTTGTGGTGTGTACCAGCACCTTATATTAGGTACCTTGTGGTGTGTACCAGCACCTTATATTAGGTACCTTGTGGTGTGTACCAGCACCTTATATTAGGTACCTTGTGGTGTGTACCAGCACCTTATATTAGGTATCTTGTGGTGTGTACCAGCACCTTATATTAGGTACCTTGTGGTGTGTACCAGCACCTTATATTAGGTACCTTGTGGTGTGTACCAGCACCTTATATTAGGTACCTTGTGGTAAGTACCAGCCCCTTTATTTAAAATAGAAAAAGCCCTGGCTTGTGCACTTGCCTGTTGGCCCCTTTTGTTTTCTGTTTGAGGCAGAGATGTTTATCAGCATTCTGGGCTTCCCTGTCGTCCTAGTTTATACCTGGAACCAGGAATTAACTCTATAAGCAGCCAGTGTCTTCTTCTTCGTCTTCCCATTTACCGGCTGTAAACTCCAGTGAAAATTTCTGGTTTTTCGTCCACTTCTGGGCTCCAGTGCTGTTCCAAAAACTGAGTGTTGCATGTACATTCATTTTACAGGTCTGACTTACTTGTATGCAGATTGCTGGTTCCTTGCTTCTCAGCAGATGTACTCTGACTTTGAATGAAGCTCCCAATTAGTCAACTCTTATGACATGCTTTTGGGCAGGTAGTGGGTCTGTTCTTGTTTTCCCCACAATGGGTCTAGTGCCAACTGGTGTACAGAAGTATCTCGCTGGCACCTTTCCAGACGATACTGTTATCGTGTGTCACTAAGAAGCAGGAAAATCACAGACTAGGCAACTACTGAACTAATATATAAACTAACACAATTTCTAAAAATTTCTTCTTCTCAAAGTCCATGACATGTGGTGTTGGTAGTCATGTCTATCCACAACCTTCTATCTCATGTACTTTCAGTCAACTCTGACACAGATGTACCTCCATGCCTTGATGTCAGACTGTCCAGTATCTTTTCTCTTGGTCTCCCTACCCTCCAACTTTCCTACTGTCACTGGGTACTCCAGTTTTCTTCTTCTCATCACATGACCAAAGAATGTAGATTGTCTATTTCTGATGTGGGCAATCACTTCTCTTCATAAGTCATTGTCTTTCAAAACTAATGTAGGAAATTCAAAAAGAAAAACGAAAAATGAAACTCATAATTCAGGCAACTCAAAGAAAAGAATTACTCACTTGTTCCCTCCCAAACAATTTCCCCATCCAGGATTGTGAGTATGAAGCCTTCTTTTCCTTCGTTCTTCAACCTAGTCTCTAGGTATAGATTAGCTCCCTGACCACCAGAAGTTGAACTGATCTCTGTCAGGGAAACCGTTTCTGATTCCATTGTCAAATGGTTAAATGTTGACACTTATGACCATCAGTTCTGCCTCACCTGATTTAGGGGAAAGCCTACATTAGACTTCTATGTGAAATACACAAAAATGTCACTTGTTAGAGACCTTTAGTGGACTGCTATATTCGTCAGTCGTGTATACCCAGCTTCTGCTATCAGCTTCAACGGGAGAAACGTATTAGGGATGGTACTAGACTTATCATAGGACAGTCTTCTTCATGTTCACCAGCTGTAAACTCTGGCAGAAAGTGCTGTTCATCCACCCCTGAACTGTAGTCACTTTCCAGAAACTGAGTGTTGAGTGTGCATCCGTCGTTTTATAGATATGACTCATTTGTATGTAGCCTGTAGGTAGGTAAGTTTTACCCCAACAGGACATCACACAAGCAATAACCACCTGGTGACACAAAGTGCAACCATGAGGCTGGGGATCAACCGTGGAGCGGTCCTGGAAACCTTTTTCAGCCGTTAGGCCATATTTAAGGCCCAGCTATATTTAGGGCCCCCGGCAAAAGCCAGATTGGGGCTTTAAAATAACCCAAAAAATTGCATCCCACATGGGGATGACTAATATCTAATGTAGCCTGTTGGTTCCTTGCTTCTTAGAAAGGTGCACTCCGACTTAAAAGTAAGCTCCCAATTAGTCGACTCATACAACATGCTTTTGGGTAAGCAGTGGTTTCTCTACAAAAGGGCCTCAGAACACACACAGGGACCTAGAACAATGAAAAATGCAATCTGTAAACTATCTTTTCAAACTTTATCCCTCCAGAACTGCAGTCTGCAGGATTAACATCTCAAGGGCGAGAATCAAACAGGTACAAATCCCGGAAACCATTCAACCATATAGCACAGTTATACTTGGGCACCACAGAAAGACTACAAAGAAACCTGTAGTAGGAATTATCTGTAAACTTATGTTATGACAGGGCAGATCAGACCAGACCCTTAACTTTGGTTGGCAAGCTGGTCTATGAGAGAAGATTCAACAAGCTGACGGGCACAACACTGCACTCCCGATCCTGTAGCATGCTTTATTCCAAATATTTTGGTGTTGCCTATCCCCTGAAGTAAACAAGGCAGGCAAAGGGGGAAATCATGCTGCATAGGCAACAGAAGGTACAGGTTTGTGCTCTGGAGAGGAGGAACTTCATGCATGGCCTCAAATGGTATCCCTATATGCTGAGACTTACATGCCTCCCTAGAGCACAATGGAACACTATCACATGGAAAAGAAGGAAAGGTGCCTTGAAAAAGATGAAATTTTAATACACAGAAATGCATTTGTTATAGAGCCTATAGAATGCTACATCTTACTGCCGACATGTCACTTGCTGAACATTACAGTGTAGAGAAATTACACATTTGTTGAAGAACTCATATTATATTGGTTTATTCCCCGTGTGGGTTCTGGGGCCCCATTGTAGGGGAAAACAAGAATAGACCCACTGCCTCCCCAAAAGCATGTCGTAAGAGTCGACTAACTGGGGAGCTTCCTTTGAAGTCGGAGTGCATATGCCAGAGAGGCAAGGAACCAAAAGTCTGTATTCAAGAGAATGAGATCTGTAAAACTGATGCACATGCAACACTCAGGTTCTGGAACAGGACTGCAGTTCAGTTGTGGACGAGCAACCAGAACTTTCCACCAGAGTGTACAGCTGGTTAATGCGAAGAAGAAGAAGATAATGGTTTATGTAAGCAAAGTAAAAAAACAAACGTTTTGGTACTTTATTTTTAATTCACATGAAACAACATAAATATCAGAGTCCAAGGGAAAGTCCAATTATTCTAGGGATGTTAGGAGTTAGGGGGGAGGGGGGGGGGGGGGGGGGGGTTAAGGTTAGGTTCTGTTGTCAGATCTGACCACTCAGAGACACCGACCAGCCCTAACCCCCAAACCATCACACCCATAGAATATTGGACTTTACTTGGGACTCCAGGATCTCCCTTTGTTTGGAGTGAATTAAAAATAAAATACCACAATTTGTTGCCATTAGTGCACTAGGCGCATGATGCTAGACCAAAGAGCCTTGTCCAGATCTAGCTTGTCAAGTGGTGCATAACCAGCTAATCTGTGTGCCTGTTTGTTTTTTTAAACATCTGAATGGCTGGAGAAAATATCCAAAGGATGGTTTTTTTAGAGACAGAAGAAAAATAGAAATAACAGAAATGAAATGTTTACATACTATGCTAGGTGTCACGAGGAAAGATCGACTTAGGAACGATGATATTGGGAGGAGAATCGGCATAGAACCAACACTGAACTTTGGTTCTCCTTGCAATAACGGTTGCTACTTGGACGGCGACGGCCGCTAAGGTGGAGTTCAGTCCCCTGGCTGCAGTGCAATTACGGAGTGGACAAGGCACGAATCACAAAACAAAGATATAGCGACCGTCATTATGGGTAAGTACTCGATGTTACATGTGTTACCCTAACCCTACCCCTAATTATGTCATTTGTTTCATTCCCTCTTTTCCACTCCGTAATTACACTGCAGCCAGGGGACTGAACTCCGACGAAGCGGCCGTCCAACTAGCGACCGTTATTGCAAGGAGAGCCTGAACTTTATAGGTAGACAACAAATCAAATGGTTTGGCCATGTAACAAGATTAGCACCACAGAAAGCAATGTTATAAAGATGCAGTATAAAGAAGATTCAGTGGTAACAGACCCTGAGGTTGACCACACAGAAATATAAGAGACACTAAACAAAAGTTCAGTAAATAAGTATCATTTAATTTAATATTTATAATGAACTGTGTCCATGGCAGAGTCAAAAACTCTGCTAATAACTGGCGTGTATGTTTTAACTTCAATTAGGTATAGTTGGATTGGGCATTTTAATCTATATCCAGCTGTGATGGTTTCATTTTCATAAATAAAATCTAATACAATTCTTGACTAAATTACCTTGATAGACATTTATTTATTTTGTAACACTCTTAGCACGGACGGACGGGACGTCGGCAGTCTGGCCAAAAACACGGAACGGCCGATCATCGGACCGATCAGGGTTGCCACTTTTCTTTGATAAAAAAAAACATCCAAAGTGGCAACACTAGGCCGATCGTGTTTCGCCTCGACACCGAAAGAAATCTCCTATTTTGAAACACTGAAAGTGATTCTTTTACATTCACTGCTGCATTAGTTTTACACATGGCGACTTTCTAGTGTTTAGTGTCAAAGTGAAAATTTTTGTTGAATTTGTTTAGAAAGTGACCTAAATCGCTAAAAGTATGTATGACTCGTATGTTTATGCCTCTGAACTTGATGTTAATGAAACATTTCAATCAAGTGATGACACTAATTAAATTAGGGTATCCTCCGAATAACGGTCCAAAATTATCGAGACGCAAAAAAATACCCTAACAGGGCCTCAGTGACGTGTCAATTGCGCACTTCTGTCGTCTTAAATTGCGTGCTTGCGGCGACTTCTGCCACCGCCAAGGGTGTCCCTCACGCCGCTAACGCGGCGTGGTTTGGGGCTAAACTAGATGGCTAGGACTCACGAGCAGCAGTTACCGCATCTCCTACAGCTTCCTTCATTTTGTTTGCTCTTGAGTCCTAGCCATCGAGTTTAGCCCCAATCCACGTCACGTAAGATTTGACGGAAGTTCGCAATTCGGCGGCGTTATAGTCCCCAGAAGTGCGCAATTGACACGTGACTGAGGCCCTGTTAGAGTATATTTTCCGCCTTGATAATTTAGGACCGTTATTCGGAGGATATCCTTCTATTGATACTGATGAAGGATCTAGTGTTAGTGATATTGGGGAATCAGATGGGGACGATGATCAGACCACAGCATAACCATGGCTCAGGGTATATCCACCCGAAGATGTGACACTCCGGCACATCCATTTCTTGAGCAGACTGTCCAAAACACATGCCAACTAAAGATTTCCAATTCATGTTGTCCAACAAAAATTTCAAATTAGATCCTTTTTCAGCTGCCCGGAGGCCTGCTATATAAAGGAAGGTTCCTTGGCTATCTTTCTAGACCTGACCAGCGCTTTCGACACCTGCTGGAGGGAAGCCGCAATCAGAAAACTGAGCGTAGTAGGAATTGTAGGGAAAACTCTCAACTATATCAAGAGCTTCCTACAAGACCGAACCTTCTTAGTAGCAGTCAAAAACGAAAGGTCGGCAACCCACAGGCAAGAGAACGGCACCCCACAAGGCTCGGTGATTTCCCCGGTTATCTTCTAAATCCTCGTGAACGATCTTGCGGAGGCCATAGGGGTCGACAATGTCGGTCTGTCCCAGTACGCTGATGACTGCGCAATATGGTGCTCTAGCGTCCTCATAGAACACGCAGTCGATCAGCTGCAGGAGGCGGTCGACAATGTAGCAGGATGGATGGAGAAGTGGGGCTTCAGAATCAACCCGACGAAATCCGTCCAGATGATATTTCACCGGAAAAGAAATCGTGCGCACACACTGACTCTGAAACCCGCATCGTGATAAACGGGCAAAGAATACCGAGGAAAAAGCAAACGACATTTCTAGGAATGTTACTTGACCAACAAATGAACTGGAACCCACACATAAAGCAAACCATCGCCAGATGCTCCAACAACAACAACCTTCTTAGAATAATCAAAGGGTCCGGATGGGGTGCGCACACCCGAACCCTACTGAACTTCTACAAGGCGTTCGTCAGAAGCAAGCTCGAATACGGATGTGTCGTATACGATGCTGCTTCCGACACCCAAAAAGCTCTTCTAGACCGAATTCAGATCGAGTCAATGAGAATCATCCTGTTGGTAGGGAGAGGAGCCAGTCACGAAGCCATGGAGGTAGCACTAGGTCTCATACCACTAAGCCTACGCAGAAGACAACTGAGGCACAGCTACTGGTCTCAAACATCGCTCGGCCCACACCACCCTGCCGCCCAGGCACTGACTGTTCATGAATATCCATGGTCGAAAACCAGCATCCCACAACATACATTCCAAAGACCAGCATCCTGGAAAACGGCAGCAGAACTGA